TTTAAAAAATCCCACTAAGAGCTTCACAGATAAGTGATCATTTCTCATATGGTACCCACATCATTTGTCAGAGATCCCTGGATATTAATGGCATCTATTTAAAAAATTTCCTTGACAGAGAAGAGTAACAAGTGCAATTAAGACACAATACTAAAAAGCTGTTTTGGGCTTCCCAGGTGGCACAGTGGTTAAGAATCCGCCTGCCAATGCAGGGGACACGGGTCCGAGCCCTGGTCCGGGAAGATCCCACATGCCGCGGAGCAACTAAGCCCATGCGCCACAACTACCGAGCCTGCGCTCTAGAGCCCGCGGAGCACAACTACTGAAGCCTGCGCGCCTAGAGCCCGTGCTCCACAACAAGAGAAGCCACCGCAACGAGAAGCCTGCGCACCGCAATGAAGAGTAGCCCCCGCTCGGCACAACTAGAGAAATGCCGCGCACAGCAATGAAGACCCAACGCAGCCAAAAATAAATAAATAAACTAAATAAAAAAATTTTTTTTTAAAGTGTGGTTTCTGCTTTAAAAAAAAAAAAAAGCTGTTTAAAAACCAGATGTTTAAAACCTAAACTAGCTTTAATTCTTATGCCATGCTAGAAATAAGAAGTACTCAGGTAGACAAGATCTTTAGAGATACAGCTTTTTAGCCATGAGGGTGCCATAGCATGTACTCTCTATTTTATTAGGAATATTTAGAAAGAAAATAGTTTTCGTGGGTAAAATAGTTTTATCTCAAATTGAAAGTTTGAATTGTATGAAATAAAAATTGTTAGTTGGGCTTCCCTGGTGGCGCAGTGGTTGAGAGTCCGCCTGCCAATGCAGGGGACACGGGTTCGTGCCCGGGTCCAGGAAGATCCCACATCCCGCGGAGCGGCTGGGCCCGTGAGCCATGGCCGCTGAGCCTGCGCGTCTGGAACCTGTGCTCCGCAATGGGAGAGGCCACGGCAGTGAGAGGCCCACATACCGAAAAAAAAAAAATTGTTAGTTGACCTTAACCTGCTTTAGACAGAATGTCCTTAGAAACAAAACTTGTTAGTAAAAACAATTCACACAAAAAAGTTTATTTGATTATATGTGATAAACATTTCATGAGAAAAAAAACAGCATGTACTATCCCGGAAAATTGGGGGGGGGGGGGTCTTAATCTTAAAAAATTTCCCAACAGGGGGTTTGAATGGACCTACCAGGATAGACAGAGGGGCAGGGAAAAACTCAAGCCTTACCTGAATAGACAGAATTTGACTATGAAAGCACCCGATGGGATAGATTAGACAAAAATTACTTATCAATTTGACTCAGATTCATAAAAGGGTTACAATTAAATACCGAGTGTAATCAACTTATTATTATTAGGATTCTCAAAAGTCACACTGTTCAATTTTTCCAGCAGTTCCTGAGATGTTTAAAAAGTGTTTCAAAGTTCAATTCTTATGGGTTGAAGCCTGGTAATCTAAATTAAGCCATCTGGAAGGGGAAATCCCCAGCTTTTAACAACCCTACAGCCAGGCGAATGGAGCTCAGGTGTGTCAGTGCCCTCTATTTTTCAGCAAAGAAAAAAGTAGATCCAGGTACAATTCAAACCCACAGAAAAAAATCCAAAATACCATTAACACTTTGTTTTTTGCAAAGACGAAATAAATGAATTTGGACCCTTCTCTCAGTCTGCCATATTGCTCCAAATTATATGCAAAATCTCTATTGCACTTGAGTAAAGAAATTACTTTTTTAAAGGGACAAACGCATACATTAGTGAACTTAGCCTTGTAACACTTCGTGTGCAGAAATAAATAGGAAACTAATAAAAGAGAAGTGAAAACACCTGAAAAACAACCACAGCTGTTGCTTGATCAAACATTAGAACACTTCACAGGCTGCGGAATTTCTTCAGTCCATCTCCCTACCCTCACCACGGATCCCTTAGCTGGCAAGGAGTTTGAGAAGAGAGGAAGGAAACCCCAAGAAGCTGTAACTCTCTAACAACAAAGCGCCCTCGGGGATCGCTCGCCGCGTCCTAGGCCCAGTGCTCCGGGGGCTCACTTGACAACTGCCACCCCCGAGGCGCTTTCCCACACTTCCCCCACCCCAGCGCAGGGACGGCCAGGCCAGGAGCCGGGACCCGGAGGAGCGGAAGCGAGGCGGGGAGAAGCCGGTCGGAGCGGATAGGACAGGCCGCAGGGCCCGGGCCGCCCGCAAGAAGGGGAAAGCGGCGCAGGTTGGGACGAAGAAGCTCGGAGCGGAGGAGAGAGAGAAGCGAGGCGGCCGAGGGCGCTGCGCGGCCGGGGCCCAGGCCTGCGCTGGGGGTCGCCGGCCCACTCACCGTCGGGCGTCGGAGCAGCGCCATGAGGGACGGGACAGGCAAGAGTGGCAGCCCGGCCCAGGGAGGGACGCGGACTGGAAACAGAGAGCACTAGCTTCCCCGGCGCCGTTAGGACTGCCCTCCGAGCCCGCACCGCTGGGAATCTTCGTGAAGTCGCCGAGTTCCAGGATTCAAATACCGCGCCGCTCGCGCCCCCATTGGGCGGCCCTACGTACGGCGCCCTCTTCCCATTGGCTAAGTAGGAGACATTCCCGTAGGCTGATTGGCTGAATTATCCAGACCCGTTTGGTTGTCATAACAACCGGTATTTTTCCTGCCTACTGTCTTTTTAAAAATCTCGGCCCTAAAATAAACAAAAATGAAATACCTCGTTGGGAAAGCAGACGTAGGACGCCTTGTCTGAATTTTGACGAGGATGTCAACGGATGTCTACGGATTACGGATGTCTACGTTTGTACTGGGTGGGCGGAAGTTGGTCCTAAGGAACACCCTGGAAATGCCATTTCTGACCATTATTTCTCTTCCGGAAATTTCGCGTTCGAGTTTAGGTAGGGTTGGCCTGCCTGGGTTGGGGAACAGGCGCCTCTGGTTGGTTTAGGGCTGCACTGTGTTAGGTGGTTGAGACTCAAACGTGTGCTTAAGGAATGGAAATTGTGGTGTTTATTCAGAAGCTAAGATTCCTAGGAGAGGGGGAAAAAAATGATAAATGCAATTTGTGTGACTCGTGATTCATGTAAGCTCTCCATTGTGTTGCCGGCACCTAGCACATTGTTTCGTGTGGGTTGTGATCGGGCTCAATAAATATTCGTCGAATAAATTATCTTATGATGAGCAAAAGATTTTAAAATGAGAAAGACAAGTGTGATCCAGCCTTGGGCAGCAGGGTGAGAGGCTCGCGTTAAGACCAGAAAAGAGGAAAGACAAAGTGAGAGGAATGGGAAAGGAGAGAGGAAAGGAAAGGGTCCAAGGCCCACAGTAAAGGTAGTGAAATGACTTCTGATGATAGGCTCCATCTAACAATTTGAGCAAGTTTTCCCATCACTCCTGCTCTACTCTAAAAAATGGTTTCTCTCTCTGTTACTGGGGTACTAATGACCCTTAAATGAAGTGATCTGAATTAAATTCCTTCCCTTGATCTAACATTTCTAAACCTGCTCTTTAGTAAAACAAATAATTGCAGCTACTACGTGGCATGGGAAGATGTTAGTGTATCCATTGTCCTATAACTAAAAATTAGATATTCAGTGAAGAAGTATTGGGAAGGGAAAGTATTGGGTTGGCCAAAAAGTGCCTGGTTTTTAAGTAAAAATAAAAGACACTTTTTTCATTTTCACCTAGAACTTTATTGAACAACGTATTCACCCTTTTGTTCCACTATCTTCTGCCATTTTTCAGGCAACTTCGTAATTCCATCTTCCCAAAACGTGTTATCTTTTTGAGCAAAGAACTGTTCCAGGTGCCTTTTACAGTCTTCCAGGCAGTTGAAATTTTTTCCATTAAGAGAATATTGTAAAGACCAAAATAAATGGAAATCTGAAGGTGCAATTCTGGTGAATACAGTGGATGAATCAGAACTTCCCAGCCAATCTGTTAACAGTTTTTGCCTGGTCATCAAAGAAACATGCAGTCTTGCATTATCCTGATGGAAGATTCTGCGTTTTCTGTTGACTAATTCTGGATGCTTTTCATCGAGTGCTGCTTTCGATTGGTCTAACTGGAAGCAGTACTTGTTGGAATTAATCGTTTGGTTTTCTGGAAGGAGCTCATGATAGAGGACTCCCTTCCAATCCGACCATATACACACCATCACCTTCTTTGGATGAACACCGGCCTTTGGTGTGGTTGGTGGTGGTTCATTTCACTTGCCCATGATCTCTTCCATTCCACATTATTGTACGGTATCCACTTTTTTTTTTAATTAATTAATTAATTTATTTATTTATGGCTGCGTTTGGTCTTCGTTGCTGCACGTGGGCTTTCTCTAGTTGTGGCGAGTGGGAGCTACTCTTCGTTGCGGTGCACAGGCTCCTCATTGCGGTGGCTTCTCATGTTGCAGAGCTCAGGCTCTAGGTGCGTGGGCTTCAGTAGTTGCGACACGCGGGCTCAGTAGTTGTGGCTCACGGGCTTAGTTGCTCCGCAGCATGTGGGATCTTCCCAGATCAGGGCCCGAACCCGTGTCCCCTGCATTGGCAGGTGGATTCTTAACCACTGTGCCACCAGGGAAGTCCCTGTACGGTATCCACTTCTCATCACCCATCACATTTTGTTTTAAAAACGGAACGTTTTCATTACATTTAAGTAGAGAATCACGTGTGGAAATGCGGTCAAGAAGGTTTTTTTCCCTTAACCCAAACATCAAATCGATGAACATATGCAAATGATTTTCAATGCTTGATTTGTATATTTTGAGTATGTCTGCTATCTCCCACATGGTATAACGTTGATTGTTCTCAATTAATGTCTCGATTTGATTGCTATTGACTTCAACTGGTCTACCCGACCAAAGAGCATAATCCAGCAAGAAATCTCCAGCACCAAACTTCGCAAACTACTTTTTTTATGCATAAATATAAAAATATTTTATTTCAGATGCTTACACTTTTAAGGTACTCCCTAGAAAGGGATGTCAAAAAAATATTAAATAAAATAAGGTTTCAAACTTTGTTAGGCTATGATTTGAGGGGGAAATGACTATTGATGGTTACATAGCTGGAAATCTTTGTGGTAATAAGTATAAGCTAACTTCAATCAACTCACTTTTCCCAGAATCCATTGGTGTGAAATTATACATTGTTGTTATTTTCAAAGGCTATTCAGCTTTGACTGATATGCAACAAGCAGTTACTGAGCATCTGCTATATTGCTTATTGTGTAGTCTAGTTAATTTGTCTGTAGCAAAAACAAAGCCACAGATGACCTTATCTCTTCCACTGTGTGTGTGTTTGTTTGAAGCTGTTTGTATATTCTTGATTAGTCTGTTTCTGAAGCAGCTTGGAAAAGTCTCATCTACTTTTTAGCATTTGGTTGCTTTTATAAAGCATCTTAGAAAGCAGACATAGCACTCCCAGGTCTGCCAGAAGTATTTCTTCCCTGAAGACTCAATTTCTTCCATTGTTTAAAAAAATTTTATTTATTTTGCCACGCTGAGCAGCAAGTGAGATCTTAGTTCCCCAACCAGGGATCGAACCCATGCCCCCTGCAGTGGAAGTGTGGAGCCTTAACCATTGGACTGCCAAGGAAGTCCCAAGACTCATTTTCTTGAGTGGTATTGCTTTGCTCATGCACTGAAGACTTCTGGTAACAGAAATGGACCAGCGAGTTTTAAACAGTTCTACAGAAATTGCACTTTGGTCTCTAGACTTCGTTGTCCTTGGGAATTGGAACTGTCACCTGGTGTGCATTCCTCATAACTGAGATTATCTTAAAACAGAAATGGTAGGAAAGCTTTCCTGTGCTTCGGGTAGGAGACGAATTTGCTTTTGTAGAATTTGTGGCTGAGGAAAGCAGACAGGGCCTGGTTGAAGAAGACATATGTTACCACGAGCCACCAAGTTAAGTTGTGGAAACCAAAGGTGACAGCCGTGGAAATGTAGATCATCAGCTCTGCCAAGTAGTTAGGGGAAGAAACGTATTCAAACCAGTCTCCAAAAGGGATTCGGTGGTTACAGTGAATGACCACTCCTGCTTTATTTTTCCTGAGATTGCCGAGAATGACATGACACTTACACTGATGGACAGACGACCAGATGAACATCATCATTCCGAGGATATGGAACCGCCGAGCTTGCATCAAGAGATTTTTCCCTATCACATAGACATTCCTGCCGTCCATTGGCACTTGGCTCAACACAGTTAGGCCGACAAGGACATAGTAGACAAGTCCAAAACAGTACTGCACGACGTGAATCACGGCATTGGAGAAGACACTGACATAGAAGCACTCGAAGAGTCTTCGTAGGCTGTGTAGCCACAGAAACACTAGTACTAAGAACGCAGACAGCACGAGCTCACCCCCTCGGAATTGCGCAGCCCCAAGAATTCTGAGTAAATGATGAAGCCAGTTTGGAAAAGGTGCTCCCACAAACAGAGACTGAGTAAGGCTCCAAAGCAGGAAGCCATTCCACAGCACTGAGATGATATAGAAGTGAGAAAAATAGCTCTTGGGGACATCAAAGGCCCGACAGGCGGCCGGTCGCGACGGCCCCCCTTCCTTGGTTTTTCCATAGCAGATCAGGTCCTGGAAGAGCGTGCAGCCCGGAAGCAGGCCAGACGGCACGAGCTGCAGCAGTAGGGTCAGCAGGAAGGCCGCGGCCAGCGTGAGCCACACGGCACGCAGCGGATTCAGCGCCAAGAGTTCGGCCCCCGCCCAGGGAGCCATGGCCGGCGCGCCCGGAGTCCGCGCTCCCCGGGCCCTCGCCACTCGTTGGCGGAGGAACGGCCACTCAAGCGCGGCGCGCCGGGCTCAGCCCCGCAAACCACTTTTGACACGTTCGATCAGTCACAGCACTTCTCCATACACTACACAAATCTTTTTTTGCATTTCGGTTGCATTTTTAACTTTCTTGAAATAATAAAGCATAATATGCTGAAAATGTTGCTTTTTTTCTTCCGTCTTCAATATTAAAATGGCTACACAAAAATACACCAAATTTGATGTCTTTTTTCAAATGCACGTGGATATGATAGATGTCACATACAATCTAACAAAATTATTATGAATGAAGTTAAAGACAACTAAGTGCTACTACAGCCATCTTACAGAAAAAAACGAACCTTTTGGCCAACCCAATAGATGTTTTGTGCACTGGGGTTGTGAGTATAATTATATTTTTGCTTTATTGTTATAATATTGGTGGTGTTATCAAAAGCTACAACTATAAAACAATCCTTACCACCTCTCAGGTCTTTGTAAACAGAAATGTTAAGAATGGTAAAGTGCTTTTATTAACTGATTTGACATGGTTAAACCTGAAATTTAATCCATATTAGACATATTATGTTTTCATTTAAAATAGAAGTACTATTTCTTATGGTTTATCCCTCACTGCAACTAACCTAGAACGTTACAAATAAACTTTTTGATTCAATCTCTTGTTCAATGCATTGTAGTCCTTCTATATTTTTATTTCTTGTTCCCTCCTGTCTTAGGTAACATTTATTGATCACTCTTCCTATATTCTAATTTAAATAAACTTTCTCATAGAGTCCTCATAATCTTTATTGATAGTATTATCCCAGTTTTTCTGGGTCTTTTTTTTTTTTTTTTTTTTTTTTGTTCCCGGGCCCCTCACTTTTTTGGCCTCTCCCGTTGCGGAGCAACAGGCTCCGGACGC